TTTCATTTCATTATCATTGATAATTGCCAGAATTATGTCTGTTTGATAGGACCGGAATGGCCATTTAAAACAGGGGGAGGAGGAGGATGATACACAAATTAGTTTATTCTACAGATTCTTTTATGTGGGTTGACACATGCATATTCACTTAGCAGCCTTTAGTGAACAATGATGGACTTTGTGCTTTGGACGTCACAAAAACCCACAAGATTTCATTCACTGTAATCAGACATGGCTGCAGGTTTGAGTTTCGCACTACACAGATCATAGACTTGAGTAAAAAGTGTTTCTTACTCATTGCAAGGTCGGATTATTTTCTAAATGGGTCACAAAAGAGTGCTCGATAATTAACACCTTCACAGTGTACTAAGGTTTCTTTCACATGAATTGGCACCATGCCTTGTTTATTGTGGGCTTTGTTGTTCTGCCGTGCTGGAGCCCAGATTAGTAAACACCTGCAAAGTGTGTCCCCTAACCAAAGCGCACCTATTATTGTCTTCAGGAAACAGATGCAAGTTCACAACTCTGGAAAAGTGTGTTTGGAGCTGTGGTTGAGTTTGTCTGCACGATAGGTCTTTGGGGGTGTGTCTGTGTGTGTGTGTGTGGGCGGGTGGGTTTCGGAAAAAATGACTCTGCATTTCCTGCCCTAATTCGTTCAAACGTGTTGTGCCAATTGATGCATTGAAGCGAAGGTTGTCCGTGGTGTGTGTGCGAGTGTGTGAATATATAGGTGTGAACATAAATGGAAGAAAGAGGTGAGATGTGGCTGATCAGAAATGTTCTGTATTAAATACAGTTACAAGTTTTAAAATATTAGGTTTGCTTTTCCTTGTGCATAACTATATTAGAGACTGATTATTATTATTATTATTATTATTATTATTATTATTATCCATCCAGTGTGCCATTTATCCCACACAGGGTCACAGAAGAGACTGGAGCTTATCCCAGGGAACTTGGGGTACAAGGCACGGGACACAGTCACTGGATGGAGTGCCAACCCATCACAGGGCACAATCACACACAGTCACACACTACAGACAGTTTGGAAATGCCAGTCTGCCTACAATGCATGTCTTTGGACTGAGGGAGGACACTGGAGTACCTGGAGGAAACCCCCAATGCACGGGAAGAACATGCAAACTCGGACGCAATAATTGAACCACCGACCCCGGAGGTGCGAGACAAACATACCACCCACTAAGCCACCATGCTTTATTATTATTTTATTATTATTATCATCATCATCAAGAAGAAGAATTATACATTTTGACCTTACATTGTGCTCAGCCTTCCCTTTTTACAGAAATGCACACAACAGCCAGAAATACAGCTGGACCTCTGAAAGATTTGGGGTCAGAGGCTGAATCGTGGGAGCAGACAGATGTAAAAAATCAGTCCTACACTTTTTTATTTTCATTCTCTCTCTAACTCTCTCTCTCTCTCTCTCACACACACACACACACAAACAGAGATCAGAGGGATCTCTCTGGGAAACGGTGATTTCCCTGGCCACAGAGTGCATGAAAGGGTGAGTTAGAGTGAAACTCACACAAGATGCCAACTGTACTGAAACTACCAAAGGGTTTTGAAAACAATTACACACAGTCACAAATTAGCAGGGATACATAATAGCAGTGATATGTGTGCTTATGCATTCCACTGAGCACTTGTGACGTCGTGTGGTCAGGCTGAATTTCTAGGCTCTCCTCTGTGGTAAAGAGGTCTCAAGTGAGTGCTTGAATGTGTGTTTTGAAGGAAGAAGGTAATCTAGCTCTCTGGAAACACTTTTTTTTTGGAAGGTATTCTAGCTTTCTACTGGACTTACTTCATAGCATGTCTATGGGAAAAATAAATAAAGGGGAAAGACCCAGGTATAAAAAAAAAAAAAAAAAAAAGAAAGGAAAAAGAAAAGAAATCCAGAATGCTGAAGAAGGTATAATGGAAATGATTAAAGGCCATGTGGGAAAAGTGGAGGATTCCTTGGTTGGGTGCAAGGGTTCTGGAAATTTCCAGCTTGCCATGGTTACGCCACAGGCTACGTTTCGTGACGCACATCTTGGAGTAAAAAAGGTTGCAAGTCACGTCAAACACTTAAGAGTCTAATATGTGGTCAAAGAAAGTGCTATTGTGTAAAGTGGGGGGAAAAAAATCCCAATCTTTGCAATAAAATATTTCATTTCCAATTTTTGCAATTTTACAATGCCGGTCATGTGGAAAAAGAAATTGTTATTGTGTAACAATTTTGCTAAACAATCTTTGTAGTAAAAAAAAAAACTGCTGTAAATATTTTAAACAAACAAACAAAAAAATATTCAGAATCTTTGCAATCTTATGATGCCACATCAATACCATGTCCAACTGGTGGAAATAAATAAATCAATAGATACATATATAAATCTGTTAAATCGGTCAGTCCATTACTCAATTCAGAATCTATGTAGTTATTGCGTAATGTTTGTTGTTTTTACAAAAAGGCTAGAAATGCTTTGTATGTCCCTTTAAATAGCAGCTGCTATTGATACGATTCCCTGACATCGTCAGTTAGAATAAACTTCAGCCCTCCCAACTGTGTTTGAAAACTTCCATCACCCAATCAGGGACCCCATTTCACCCAACTGTATCAATATGTCATGCGTTTTCTATACCTCCTTCTTCCTCCACATCACTTTCAAAACTCTCACTCATTTTTGCATGACTCAACCACCGAGTTGGTTTCATCTTTCAGAATGATGAGCAAGCTGGACAGGTGAGTAAAAATAAAAACAGAACAAAAAAAAAACAAAAACATAATACTGAGAATGCTAAATGATGCAAATGTACATTCCATAAAACCTGCTGCTGATGGAGAGTTCAGGAATTATTAAGAAAAAAAAAATCAGCATTTAAAATGTAAACAAAAAAAAAATGTATATAACTATATATAAATATATGAATGGAAATGTGTCTAATGATGTATGGCATTGCAATTTGAAATGTTCTCAACTATTAGTAGCAGAGGATGAAACCGAGAGTGCTAGAGATGTGTACGTTTGTGTGCGTGCGTGTGCGCCTACATGTATAGCTTTGCACAGTACAATCTCTATATCTCGGTATAGCTGTTGTTGTGTTGTAGCAGTTCCTACATGCCCGAGTGCACAAGACATTTAAAGTTAATAAGCTAAACCATTAGAGACATGAAGCCACTTGTCCATTTAACACATTATCAATTTTTTATTATTTAAACATTATTTTTAAATTATTGATATTATTAATTATTGTATTGTCTACGTATTATTACAAAATTCCTATACATTATTTCCTATAAGTTTTACAATTTATTCGAAATATTTCAAGTTAAACGATGTTGTATTTCTGCTCTGTTTCAACTTACATTACATTTCTAACCATGTATCGATTATTTCAATCCACCTTTGACATACTGTAATTGTTTTCAAATTAAGATCAGTAATAATCTTACACCTTCTTTCGACAACACATTAGCATGTATTATGATATATTTTATCATTACTCATGACTAAAAATCGTTTTTTGGGGGGCCATTGTTGTTTGCTGCAGTGTGCTACTGACTCAGAGGAAGTTTATTTATCACTATAAGAACGTGCGCTGGGCTCGTGGGAGGAACGAAACCTACCTTTGTTTTGTGGTCAAGAAACGCAACAGTCCCGACTCGCTCTCCTTCGACTTCGGACACCTGCGCAATCGTTCTGGCTGTCATGTGGAGGTAAGACGAGGATGGACAGATGCAGCTGCAGGAGAAAAAGAGATTGCAAGGATGAAGTCAGTGCAATGCTATTAATCCACAATTATATTTGATAGCTTGAAACAAAATGCTATCGCCATGACATGATTGCACTCACACCTGGAAACATACAATGGGCGGCTGTGGCTCAGGTGGTAGAGCGGGTTGTCCATTAATCGTAGGGTTGGCGGTTAGCTTCCCGGCCCACATGACTGCACATGCCAAAGTGTCCTTGGGGAAGACACTGAGCTACTGAGCTAGCACCTTGCTCTGCTACCATTGGTGTGTGAATGGGTGAATGAGAACTAGTGTAAAGTGCTTTGTAGAACCGCTAAAGTTAAAAAAGCACTATATAAGTGCGGACCATTTACCATTACCAATACATCTGCCATCAAAACAATCCCCATGTATGGATTTTGGGGGTACATGATTCTGTTTGTATTGCTAATAACAACGATGAGATGAAAATAGATATTAACAACAGTAACTAACGTATATCTTTTTTTTCCCTCCCTTCAGCTTCTCTTCCTGAGCTATCTTGGCGTACTGTGCCCGGGTTTCTTGGGTTCCGGTGTGGATGGTGTCAGGGTGGCATATGCCATCACCTGGTTCTGTTCCTGGTCACCCTGTTCAAACTGTGCCCATCGCCTTTCTCGCTTCATGTCTCAGATGCCCAACCTGCGGCTGCGCATCTTCGTCTCGCGCCTCTACTTCTGTGACGAGGAGGACAGTCAAGAGAGAGAGGGACTCCGGTGCTTGCAGAGGGCAGGCGTGCAAGTGACTGTCATGACCTATAAAGGTAAACGTTGAAAGATTACTGTATAGGCATATACATATTTTAACATGTCCGCTTTCTCTGATGCTTTGTCTATAGCCTACTGTAAATACATAATCTCAACTGAATCAGACTACAATGAGGTGATGAATAAAGCCATGTGAGAGGTCCGGAAGGGGTTAGCAGTCCATTCACGTGCAGAATAAAACCTTCTGAAATACAGCTTTTTGATCAACGACAGTCAAAATCAAGGCATTGTTTGCAACTCAGCAGATGAATTCATTTTCCCGCCACTTTGTAAATCAGTTCGGTTTGCTGTGTTTCCACAGTAAGAGCTGCTACCGAAACCTTTGGGGCTAATTACACATTTTGTTATACGTAGAAGGCTTCCATATATTAGTTACATTCATTTAAGCAGGTTTGCTAAGATATTGCATTACTCAGGTGCACAAAAAAAAAACCCAAGAAAGAAGGAAGAAGGGGGGCACAGTGGCTTAGTGGTTAGCACATTTGCCTCACAACTCTGGGGTTGAGGGTTCAAATCCCGCTTCCGCCACAGAGCTCAGATACTCTCCCTATGTCTCTGGGGTTGCCCTTCCCTCCTCCGTCAATCCAAAGATATGCATAGTAGGCTGCCTGACGTTTTCAAATTCTCCATTGTGTGCTCAGTATGTCCCCTGCCTTGTGCCCCGAGTTCCCTGGGATAGGCTCGCTGTGTAGGATAAGTGGTACACAAAATGGATGGATTGATGAAGGGTTATGTCAAAGTTCTTAAAGCAATACTGAATATCGCATTAAAATGAGTAAGTTTGTTGCAACTGTTTACATTTTGCACTTTCGTGGGTTGTGCGTGTGTGTTTCCTTGAGGGCCCTTTTTAAATGGTTAGTCCCAGACCTGGACAATAAACGTAAAGGGCCGGATCAGACTCCTAACCCTATAGTAACGAGCAATCGTGAGACTGTGTACGTTTGTACTTCTTCTGCAACGTTCTCTCTCGACAGATTTTTTCTACTGTTGGCAAACCTTCGTGGCTCGTAATCAGAAGGCTTTCAAGGCTTGGGACGACCTTCACCAGAACTCTATCCGACTGTCCCGGAAACTACAGCGAATCCTGCAGGTAAGAACAAAAACACTTCACATTCATCTATTGGCAATTTCGACATGACAACAACCACAATAAGAAGGCATCGCTGAGTGAGAACAGTACAAATATGTCATCTACTCTGTGTTTGTCTCTACAGCCTAGTGAGTGTGAAGACCTGAGGGATGGATTCGCTCTGCTGGGCCTTTAATGACATGAGAGTTTACACGACAATCAATTATGGTGCTGTTAAAACAAAATTCCTGAGACTTGAATCACTGAAACATTAATAATTAATTAATTAATTAATTAATTAATCCCCCCCTCTCTGAATAGCATTATAGTTTTGATAAATGCGTTTGGGGGCGCTGTGTCCGCGCTACTTATCAAAATACTACAATAAAGAGTTTTCCTACGACGCACGTGTATGTCGTTTCGTTCAATTATTCGACAAGAGGTTCGTTTTGTTAGGAAATTTCATACCACTGTTTTTATCTGCTTCGCCAAATAAATAAATAAATAAATAAATAAAGGAAAAAGGTGGTGCGCGGATACACGGTGTACTACGACGTTAACGGCTCCGTTATCCGCCGACACCACGCTGCAGCAAACAAGCGGCTGAATTAAAATCCAAGATGGCGGCCGAGGTGGAATACGAGTCGGTTCTGTGTGTCAAACCTGACGTCAATGTTTACCGAATTCCGCCGCGAGCGTCGAACCGCGCCGTCAGGTAACAGCCCGTGAGCCATGCACGACCTTCATCTTTACCGGCATCTTCCGCATCATCTTTTACACCCCGTTACACTTCGAGAACACATTCAGTCGCATGCAGCAAAACGCCGACAACGTCATTAGCCCATTTCACGGGTTCTGTTTTCATGCTCGCGTGACGTGTTTATCGTCCCAAATTCCATATCGCATGTTTATTGATGCTACACAGGATTGAGGCCTTACACGTAAGCCATTGCGTAATATACATATACGCACGCGCGCGCGCGCAAAGTGTATTGATTGACCAAGTGTCATAGGTGTGATTGAGCTGTTCCCAGAGGGATTGTGTCATTCTGAGTTTCTCAATATGTCTCTACTTTAATGCATTTGACATCACATGTCACAAAGTCTCATCATCTATGAGTGGAGTTAACATAAAATAAAATAAAATAAAAAAAAAACAGACTGGATGACTGCGTCTGCATCATCCTCATCACCCATTCATTTCAGTGCCGTCACGACCGGTTCAGCTTTTATTAAATGGTGTGTGTAATCAGTAAGCAATTTCTTGCTAATATATTTGTTTGCTTGCGTGTGTGTCTGTGTGTTTGAAAGGATATTTGAAAGATAGCTTGAGACACGGTGTTTACGTTTTCACTTAGTATGTCTGACGTCAGTAGTTTCCGGACAATGAGTGGACGGCGGTGTTTGTTTAACCCTGTTCCTGGATGATGATTGGCTCATCCACAGTCGCGTGGGAGAACTGAGAATAACTACAGCATGTTTCATTGCTGAGTAATAAATAATCATTGGACGAATCATCCCAAGGGCATCAGAACGTGACCTATCTCATATAGTAATCTGATGTACTGTACCAGATGGTAAATGAACCATAAAAATTAAGCATGTCTTCTTCTGATTGTTTCCTCATTTAAGCTATGACAGCAGCAGCTCTCTCATCTTGTGATGGTAATCATCAGATTCCTCCCGCCCCATCGTAATAAAAAAAAAAAAAAAGTGTTCCCAGTTTTATGGATCCATCTGTTATCTCGTGCATACGCTCAGTGGATGTTTTATTAAGTATATGTACGGGTGCACTTTGTAGGCAGACACTTGGTTAGGAAATACAACACAATGCTGTCAAGAGACAACAGTCCCGGGGTGGTCCCAAGTTGAAGTCATAACACATCCCGACGTGTTTTATTCCTCTTATTCCACAGTGTTGATTTGTCAACGATTAAATTTTTTTTATTATCGTTGCATCGTTTATTATTACGCTTATTGTCAAGGAACATCCGCGAGACATGTTAGTTCCTGTTATCATTTACGTTATAGCAGCTATAAATGGTCAGTCCCTCAGCAGCCTCTTTCTCTCTCTCTCTCGGGAAGTTAATAAGACGGGGGGGGAATGCAGCTTGTTACGTGGAACATGAAAACACCTGATAGAAATCGCACTGGCGCTTAAGGTACATTCACACATACAGCGATTTTTTTTTTTTTTTTTTTTTATCGCTTCAAGTCGCTGTAGTATGAAGTCGCCAGTAGGCGTTACTACTACTGGTTGCCATGGTAATAGTTATCAGTGGGTGGCGCAACTTGCATTCCACTTTTGACAACGAAGCAGTTTTCTTGCTGCTGAAATTAAACGTTGTTTAGGGAGAGCGTTTGTATATAAAATTCACCAGAGAATATAATGCATCATATCCTGCGAGATGAAGGAGGAGCAATGTGCGCTCTTTGCCGTTGGGGCCATCTATCTGCGGCGGAAGCGCAAACGCCGGACTGTCCGGGTCGCCGATACAATTCGGAATCGCAGGCAGCATGGAGGATCACGGATCACATGCACTGTGATGTCAACTGTCTTCGTTCAACTTTGTCACGTTGCTGGACGCGCTCACATCTAGTCACCGCTGGCACTGGAGACTCCTTCCCTTCCATTAATGATAAACGATTGTATGTTTATCTTTGTTAATACTAACAAGACATGCTGTTAATTTGTTTATTATTAGGGTAAACTCATGTCAGTCTTTCACCATACAAGTCCATGTGTATGAGCTGTTACTATAGAAACAAAAACATACTAGAACTAGTGCTTTAATGTAAACCTATCATTTATTTTATAGGTAGAACTGAGCTGCACTGAATCCACACCTTCTGATTAGTGAATTCAGCAGTGCCATGGTATAAATAAGTGTAGCCCATTTGTTTATATGTGCTGTTTGTCATCCATCCATCTTCTACCGCTTACTCCTGTGCTGTTTGTCAGCCCATTAGAAAGGGACCACATTAGGACAACTACTGTCCAGATGTTGTTTGGATGGTGCACCATTCTGAGCAAAGCAGTGACACTGACATGGTAATGTGTGTGCAGCCGGTACGAGTCTGTAAAACACTGCAGTGTTGCAGGGATTTTTAAATGCCTCAGTGGCACTTTTGCGAAGCAGACTACAAGCCAAAAATATCAAGTCACGTGACTTTTTATTGTCATTTCAACCATATACAGCTGTTACTGTACACAGTGAAACAAAACAGCGTTCCTCCAGGACCATGGTGCTTCATAAAACAACCCACTAACTACACGAGACGAAACAGAACTATATAACCTGTACACATTTCTCCATAAAGTGCACACGCACAGTAAGTGACCGGGTAGCACCGACCAGTACACAGTTCTAGTGTGGAAGTGTCCGATATTACAGGTAGTGCAAAAGAGTAACGATACAATTTTAAAATGCTGTGAATATAATCATAGCATGCTATGACGCTGTATTCAGCAGATAAGGTTACCAAATATGGACCTAGCAGTTATTGCAGGAGCAGCCAGATAAAGTGTCTAATAGTGACAAGAAATTAAATATGATATATTTTTTTTAATAAATACAGTAGCAGCAAAAAAAAAATGTAATAAAAAAAAAATCAAGCCAGCATACTTCTGCAAGCTGATGCAGACACTGACCTAGGGTTAGTCCTGTGGTATTTAACTAAAATTTATGAAGGAACAGCTACTTAAAATAATTTCCTTATAAGGGTGAGGATAAGTAACTAACATGACTGAGCGATGACAACAGTTACTGTTTTTAATATGTAACCTTTAGTATTAGTTTATGGCTATAAATAAGACCTTTTGAAGTGGTAATGTTTTGCTTCATAGTGATACTTCCTGTTCATTTGACTAGCACCATTTTTAAACAGATGAGGCAGCTCTATTTTGAATGTGATGTGAGGAGAGTAAACACATACCTCTCTGTCCATTCATCTTTAAACATTGTCTTCTTTGCCAGCTTTATTTGTGTGTGTGTATATATATATAATATAAAAACATGGTACGTTTTTTCACTTTACTAATCAGACCAGACTAGAGTGGATAACAAAAATCTGAAAGACTGTGAAAACTCTACCCTTTCTCAACTCATGTCTTTAGCCCTTTAAGTAGTCTCTGGTCTGATGAGTTTCCTTCAGTTAAATAATTTACATAAATGCCTCTGATAAACCACAACAGAAGATCTGCTGCAGAAGCTGAGCTGTTTCATATTTATGAAACTAGAGTCACTCAACTATGGCCGGGGTTTTAAAAAAAAATATGTTTCTGCTGCAGTATTGTTAGTCACAATAGAACATAGAAAACATATCAAATGTTTAAACTGAGTAAATGTACTATTTTAAAAAAGGAAAAAAAAGTTGGGATGGGGCAACAAAATGCTGGAAAGAGTTCCTAAAAGGAAACAGCTGGAGGTTAATTGGCAACAGGTCAGTAACATGGGTA